AAAAAAAAAAAAAAAGAATCACCAGAGCAATCTCTCTCTCTCTGCTAGTACACACAGGGAAGGCCCCGGGAGCACACAGTGAGAAAGCGGCCATCTGCAGCCCAAGGGAAGAGCCCTCACCAGACACCAGCCCTGCTGGCACCTGGATCCTGTACTTCTAGCCTCCAGAACTGTGCAAGAATTGATTTCTGTTGTTTAAGCCATGCAGTCTGTGCTACTTAGTTATTGCAGCTCTAGCTAATTGACGTTAGGCAAGTCTCCTCCTTCTCTTGGCCTCATTTTCCTCCAACAGGAGGACAGTTGTTCAGTCTTACTCCTTAGTGTGTCCCATGACCCACAGCATGGTCATGACCTGGGGGCCTGCGAGAGATGCAGAATCCAGGCTCCATGCAGAGCCACTGAATCTGCATTTTAACAAGTTCTCCAGGCCCTTCACTTGCACATTAACATTTGAGACCAGCTGCTGTAGGTCATCTCTAAGGTATCCTGCAGGGCTGACATTTACACTGTCTTATCCTATTCATTGTGTCCCCAGCATCAGCGTTCACTGTGTTCAGAGTCATAAGCACCCATGGGGGAATGGCTTGGAGCCTCCGTGGAGTTGACTCAGGAGGGACGAGTTGGCCTCCTTGGCCTTTTCTCCTCCTCTCTCTGGACCTCTCCTGGGGAAACTGGGAGTGTTTACTCTGGCTGTGGAAACTCCTGCGGGTTGGGGTTTCTGAGAGAGTCACTCACCAGGCCTACTGTAGACTGCAGAGAGCATGCCTGGTGAAGGCAGCTCTGGGTCAGAAGTGGGAGTTGTATCTGCAGACAAAGAAGAACCAAATAAATGTCAAGCAAATGTAATGTTTTGGTTTGAACAGCAATGTGGCAGAAATAGAAGAACAATGGGTAGAATTAACCTATCACAACTCAGTTCTGCACTGCGTGCATTTGGCTGTGCTGGTTAGGTCAAAGCATCACCTGAAGCACACACACCACCAAGCAGGTGGAGGTGTGGGCCTCCAACCCTCGATTCCAGTGGGCATGGCTGATTAAGACCAGTACAACAGGTGGGCATGTTCCCTAGTAGAGGGACCACTCTGGTGTCTATGGATAAGTGAAGAGAGCAGAAAACTTAATTTCCATAGAAAGGATGCACGGACTTGGGTTCACATGGGGACTTGTCCCATAGGCAGAATGTTCACTGCACCTGTTCATTTGTTCAATGGAAAGAGGGGGTGTTGATCATATGTAACTTGAGAAATGTGACAGGCAGAAAGCATTACCAGAGGGAGTGTCCACTACTTCTGGGCTCAAAGATTCATCTGTTTGTAAACAAAGAGAAAAGAACACGTGTTTATGTGTTCAACAAAAAGAGGGGGTGTCGATCATACGTAACTTGAGAAATGTGAGAGGCAGAAAGCATTACCAGAGGGGATGTCCACTTCTTCTGGGCTCAAAGATTCATCTGTTTGTAAACAAAGAGAAAAGTACACGTGTTCATTTGTTCAACAGAAAGAGGGGGTGTTGATCGTATTTAACTTAAGAAATGTGACAGGCAGAAAGCATTACCAGAGCGGGTGTCCACTACTTCTGGGCTCAAAGATTCATCTGTTTGTAAACAAAGAGAAAAGAACAGGTGTTCATGTGTTCAACAAAAAGAGGGGGTGTCGATCATATTTAACCTAAGAAATGTGAGAGGCAGAAAGCATTACCAGAGGGGGTGTCCACTACTTCTGGGCTCAAAGATTCATCTGTTTGTAAACAAAGAGAAAAGAACAC